CATTTATCGTTATCGAGGTGAACTGCTCAATATATTGTGATATTGATTTTAGGCCATATCGCCCAGCCCTAGCCTGCACAGTGTTGCTAACAGCAACTTTGTGGCTATATTTAGCAAGTTTTCAGAGCCTTCTAGTGCCTTTTTTAGTGTTATAGGAGACTTTTGGTGTCAAGAACGCGTGTTGTTCTTTCTGACAAGGAGCCGGTGCTGCTGTGGGCCCTTCCCCTCACCAAGAACTCGGTGCTCGCACAGCGTCCCTACGTGCTGCAGTCGGAGCAGGAGATGCCGTAACACCTCCAGAGCTTAAAGGAATCGCACAACGTTGCTGCAAATGTAAACGTTTCTGTCTAAAATAAAACGCTGCTGTGAGCGTTTTCTAGGTCACAAACCTGAACAATGAACAAAAGCTGGGAAAAAAAAAAAACAAGAATCGACAGACGAGGGGTAAATTGTAGTTCCAAACATATTTCGGCTGTTTTTACTTTGTTTTTATCTCTTCCACAACGTTAATCCTGTCTGTCCAATCATGCTAATTTAGTGATGACATCATCTGGTGACTCCTAGTGACGTTCGGGACTTTGTAGTTACTTTCCTTTGTGGAAGCAACGTTACATGAAAAATAAGAATGCTTCGTTTTGGCTGCTGAATGCTAAGATCTTTGGTTCTGGTTTGTGTTGTGCGTAATGGGGTCGACGTGGTTCCAGCGTGTGCGTCTTCTGCAGCTTGTGATCTGGGTCTGCACGGATCACGAACTACAAGGCAACATAAAACCTAAGTGTTGCTTGGACAGGGCCAGAACGTCTTCGGACCCACTGAGGTCGAGCAGAATCTGCGGTCTGCTATTTAAATCACTTTATTTTCTGGACGTCTTATTTCATTTATTGCTCTTCAAACAAGCGGTACAACAATGTTAACCAGTGGCTGAGGGGTTTGAACAGTGAACGTTTGGCGTTAAGCGACGGATCCTGGCGACTGGAGGGAGCAATTTTATCCACCAGACACAAAGGCGGAACTAGGGGGTGGCCGATGGTGGCCTTGGCCACTTTAGATTTAACTCTGGCCACCACAATCATTTGAGGAAACTATATTTTTAAGCAATATTAAAACAAGAAAGCATAGTTTCTTTAAATGATAAGGGGGCCGGATTATTTGTACATATATCAGCAGCCATCTTGAATTTTGACGTGGCAACCCAGTTTTCGAATGGAACATTTCTTATGCCTGGATGCAGCCACACATAAAAAAAAAACTCACTATCACTTCTTTTTTTAAGTTACTGCGCTCACAACAAGCACAAACAAATAAATAAGTGGACGGTATTCCCAATTCCACCTTTTTGCTCAGCGACGGGGACATCAAGTGCCACAAAAGACAAGTTACTTGATTAATTCTTGAGTCCACCTTTACGTGAGACAATCCACTACACTTGACTGAAAACTTGGCAATAGGCCTGTCACGATAACTAATTTTGAAAAGCAGATTAATTGTCTCAGAAATTATTGCAATAAACGATAATATCGTTTGAAATTTGACAATAATTAGTAATTATTGTCAAATTTAAGAAGAAATGTTGGTTAATTTGTTTTGTGAGTAGTACCTTTTATCGACCATTGGATGGCAATTTGAACAAAAAGACGGATACCAAAATAGTCCATGCTCAATAATCCAGGTATACAATCCAAGAATTTTCAGTCAGGTCATCTGGACAGTTTCTTTTTTTGAAATGTTTCACCTTCCATCCAGAAGGCTTCATCAGTCAAGGAAACACACAACAAAACTGATTCTTCCCCCAAACAACTTACTCCAAAGTGGAACAAACCAGTTATGTTGGTGCTAAGATGGCGTCTTTTGCACACCCCCTCCTCCGATGCCGGCCCTCTTCCTCATCGACAGTCATGTTAAAATGGTTCAAAACCAAAATAGTCCATGCTCAATAATCCAGGTATATAATCCAACAATTTTCAGTCAGGTCATCTGGACTGTCCAGAAAACCTGACTGAAAATTGTTGAAAAAGGATGGATAGTGAGGGAGCGAGCAGCGTGTCTCTTTAAGAAAAATGGGAGGGAGGCCCCTTGACGAGACATGGGCTGTCTCTCTTCGGTTCTTAAAATAGTGGACGCTCGGTGTGGTTTGAGCTCTTTAGCATTTTTCACACAAAGCTTTTAATAAATAAAAACGGTAAACAAGTTCTCAGCTTCTTTTTGCAGAGAAAAACAACTTTTTACATGAAGGCACGAGTTTCAACCAGGAACTTTGGAGCTTCCACAAGACAGAGGGATGAACGGAGCAGCTGCGGGAACATCCGGCTGCGTTTTGGACTCCAGCCTCACATCCGAGTGCAACACAAACACACAACGTGAACCCGAGTGTGTGCTCGCAGATTTTAAAACTTGTTACATAATCCTCTCAGCTTCTGCCTGCAACCAGAGTCTCCGCTGATCCTCGTCTTCCTCCCTGCAGCTGCTCCTCCACTCCGCACTTCCTCCCAGCCACTCTTCGTCATCTGCTTCCTTTCACGTCGACACAGCTGCACACTCACGGGACAACTTTTAAAGCCAATCCCAGGTGAACGTCACAAAAAAATACAACTAAACGAGCAGTCGTTCTATCTGCTCTAGTTAATGCGTAATACTGCGGTTACAGATATATCTTCAAGGCAAAGCAAAAAAAATGATGCATTCTGGGAGATCGTTTGACGAATCGTGGAGCCGTTGGCTAACAACGCTACATCTCAGACAAATATCACCAAATCTGAGTTATTGCCACTGAATCAGCAGAGCTGTACTCTGCTGTCCTGTACGCTCCCGCTCATGGAGCTGGATGTCAGAAGAGCGGCTCGTGAATTATGAAACAGGCGATGAGGTCTCTGCTACGAGCTCCTTCGTGTTCGCTCCTTTCTCATCAGCGGCCGACGGTTCAGTCGGGGATAAAGCTGCTTCCTCCACAGCCTGGAGAACGAGCCTCACCGGCCTCGGTTTTGTGGCTCTTTAGGCGAGTTCAGATCCGATGCAGGGTGTCCGTTACCAAATTAAAGCATCTCAAGGGCCACTGGACAAATAAAACATGACGTGGAAAACCCCCAAATGGCCGTAATTCAATCGTATTTACAGAGGCTAAGCTAAAACTTGGCGTGGTAGTAGCTGAGAGTCATTCACAACACTGACTCTGAGTGCAACGTAGCACGAGATCAAGGTTCGACTGAAGCTGCTGCAGCTCGTCATTTCTCATCTTAAGATGGTTTTAGTCTAAAGGTTTGAAAGGCAGTGGATGATACGGATTCCTTCGAGGAGTGCTAAGCGTTTAATTTTTTATTAAAAAAAAAAAAGATGAATGTTGAGAAAGTGTAAAACTTGAATTCAATAAATATTTTAGCAGGTTCAACCAAAAGCAGCTAGACGACTGCTTCATGCCTGGGGACGTTTTGCTTCTCGTTTAGATTCATCAGAAAGGCGTGATGTTCAAAGCCCAAACTGCAGTGAGGTTTCTCAGACTTCAACTTGTCACCAATTAAAAATACGCTTTGAATCCTTGTCCACAAAAAAAAAAAAAACCCAGCTTTGCCAAAATAATCTATTTAGTTGTCAGTTAAAAAAACAAGATATCTAGAGGAGCCGGTCGAGGTGGTTTGGGCATCTGGCAAGGACGAGCCCTGGATGCTGGCCTAGGGAGGTGTTCCAGGTGTGTCCAACTACGAAGAGATCCCAGGACAACCTGGAGAGACTATGTTTCTCTGCTGGTCTGGGGACACCTAGAGTCCTCCTAGAAGAGCCGTAAGTAAATTAAGTAAAGTAAGTAAGTAAAGTAAGTAAGTAAAGTATGCAAAGTAAGAAAAGTAAGTAAATAAAC